TATCTTGACCCATCTGCTTAATCATCATTTCATTTAAGGTTGTAAATATGCAGAGCAGGGTGCTAAACTTTAGCAGATATGATCCAGCAGAAGTAAATGTCAGATGCAAATGTCCAGTCTTTAACCAGTCAGGTCCTCAGGATGCACAGAGCCCCTGTGACATCACATTGCGCAGATGTGAGAAGAGAGCAGGTAATGAACTGTAAATTTACAGCTAACGAGTGGGTGTCATATATGCTGCTTCCCACGCGCTCCATCCAGCACACTTTCCACACGGGCCACATTTAGTATTTCTAGTGGTGTGAAGAGCAGCTGAAGATTTAATCGTACCACTAGATCCTCAACAATAACCCTAACTTCAACCTGACCTAATTCTAACCCTATTTGATGATTTACTTCTGGGTACCCAGATGTTTACTGTTATGGGAACAAAATCAAGTCCCCATAACATGAGTAATACTTAAACTATGCACACATGCACACTTCTATTAAAGCAGCCTCTTGAGAGTCCCATGTTTGGCAGCTTACATTCACAGTTTGCATCAGGTGGTTGCCACAACAGACCTGGCAACAAACTGCTGAGCTAACCAGGCTCACATATTTAAAAGGCGTTTACCTCCTGGTTAGACTGTGGGAAAAAATGTCAAAGGATACGTTTATTAGGAGCTAAAAGAAACTTCACACAGTGACCTTTTCCACTCGGCTTACTCTCTTCCAGTATATTTCTCTGAGGTCCAGTACTGAATCCAGCGATGCGACCCCCATTGCCCACCAGTCGCACATAGACATCCCGTCTTGTGTGATTGGCTATACGTAGGTGGAGGCTTCGCCTGGTTGTTATCTTCACCTGGCACCTCAAGGCCTCAGCCACTACTATCGATGAGTCTTGCTCATCTTCAGCCTCTCCTGGGTGGAATACTTCAAGAGCTCCAACCTCTCTCTGCTTCATCCCTTCTTCCCGCAGCCTCTCTGGTGTCATGTCGAGTTCGAGTCCCCCTATTTTGCTCCCGTAATTCTGGGTGTTGTCGACACCGGGACCGTCGCCCAGTTCCAAACTACCCTGCATGAGGCTGCCTTCAACATCACTGCTGTTTCTGTGCCCTAGAAGCTCCATCATTCAGTTTGATGACAAAAGCCGGACCAGCTGTCTGTACAAAGACCCTCACAGCCTGACTGACTGGGCTGCCAGCTGAGCTCCACGCACGCATATACACAAACACTTATAGAGATGGTGAGAGACACACCAGTGCACCAGAGACATTCTCTCTCTCTCTCGCTCATGCACAGACATGGTGGGCCCTCCTGTGAATGTCAGCGATGGTAACAAAGAGTGGAGGGGGCATTAGAGGAGGATCAGGCCCAAAGCTGCAATTTCTAAATATAACCAGGTGGTCCTGGTGGCAAAGGGGCAGCTAATCTAACTGATTACAGGGGGACAGGCCTGACTCAGGACGGGATGGGGGATCATTTTCTTTTCCTCTCTGCAACCCTCTCTTTATCTGAGTCTTTCCACCAATAAGATAAACCTAATTCGAATTCTACAGCAAACTGGGTACAATCCAACTTTATTCACTACAATACATGCCTCGCTGTGAGACTGAAAATGAAAGATTTTGTTGGATCACCCACAGGATCACATGCTGCATTAACTGCTGCAAAAACATGGATGACGCCTGGATTGTGAGGCGGAAATATGAAGCCCGATGGCTATAAAACATCCATTAATGATGTTCCTAGAGAAAAGTCAGAGTGTATGTGTTTGGATTGTGGTAGATAAGAAGGGAGCAAACTGTACAAACAGAACAAGGTCAGCTATGACCTTGGGTCAGCTTCCTGTTTCCCCTGTAAAGGCTGAGATTAGTGCTCTGAATATAGACTGTGACCCTAAACCATCTTGAGGACACTTTATCTTAAAGTCCTTGCGTCAGCCACCTTAGCAGAATCAGCACATGAAACAGTGATGTGTCGTCCAATCACATTGGTTGGGTGAAAGCAAGCAACGTAATTAAACTCTCAAATCACATAACTTTCATCTGACTCCCATGGAAGCTTGTTTTCTTTCTCCTTTTTTTCCCCCGCCATCGATTAGTCACATTTCAGGTTATCATCTCAAAATTTTTACTTATTAACTCCTTAATGCCAAGTGCAAGACAGAGCATTCCTATACTGGCTTCCTGTCACGTGTTTTCTTTGTATTATTGTAGAGTCTTGACCTTACAACATAAAGCACCATGAGGAAATTGTTGTTGTGATTTGGTGCTTTTTAAATAAAATTTAATGGAATTGAATTTAATTAATTGGTTTTTTTATAGCTCCACAACATTAGCACAAAAAACCTAACTAAATGGCAAAACAAATGTTTAACGCAATAAATTGGGGGAAAAAAGTAAGATGCAGCAAATAAGATACCATTGAAAACTCACATGCAGATTTTTATTTACATTTTCTTTTTATTTGTTTAGTTCAATGAACACTCCATTTTTAATTTTGTTTGTTATTTCTAATGATTATTTCATGGTTCAGGTTTTAAATGGTGAAGTTGAAATTTGAATGTAATTCATTTTTAATAATAAATTGACATTTTAACTTAGCTCTACTCAGCATCTTTTCTATAAACTCCCATATGCAATGTTGGAAACTTGTGGGAGGAGGACTACAGCACGGGCTGATGTACCTGCTTCACATTAAGACGCCTGTGTTAAGAAGTGCTCTCTCAAATTCTCTTTCTACATTTTTCATGCATATTGTGAGTCTGACATACATGAATATTTAAAAATCTTAATTTGAACAATCTATGTCTTCATCTCTTTTTAAAATGTCTTTTTTCTTCTAAACTCTTCAGTTTATCATATTTACTGTTAAACCTCTAATGTTTTAAAATAATTTACAACTATATCACTTAATATGTAATTACCAGAGGGAAAGGCAGGAACTGCAGAAGGAAACAAGGCATTTTCAAATTTAATCTTATGTTATTTACTCAGCCTGTATCCTGTACAAGGCCCTTTATTTGATGACTGCCTACTGCCCCTCCCAAACCAGCTGAGACAGCTGAGATGGTTTCTACTGCAGGTCTTTGACCCCGAGCCAAGAAAGAATTGATTTTCTTGTAAATGGGATGAAGGGAGATGAGTGAAAAACAGAGAGAAGCAACAAAGAGGAATAGAGGCGGATAAAACGACGGAGTGACCTTAAAATCTGTCAAAAAAAGGCATGAGAGAGAGCGATGAAGTCTATAAATAATTTGTAGACAGTGATGGTGCAACAGCATGACTGCACTGTACACATGCGAGGACCTAACGAATGTGGTTCAGGTGGATTAAAGGTGAGGACAGGGGAGGTGAAAAATACTGACTGAAGTAATAGGAGAGGAGAAGCTCTGAGGCGATGGAAGAGACGTGCCTGGCTGGATGGATATCATTTTAATTGAGGGTAAAATGAGCATCAAATCGTTCTTTATCCACAACAGTGTTTTGACCAAGAGTTTTAATCCTCTAATCAACAGCAGCTAAGTGAAGACAGGACTCAGGCACTATTCGTGGTTTGAAAACATACCTCCTGCATGTTGCTAGAAAATCGGAATACCATAACTTATGTAGTAGCTCATGATTCATAACAACTGGAGATAAAGTATCTAAATTTCAGTAGCGGGACCACACCTCCAAACACGCTCCTTCCGGTTCTTATCTATAAATGTTCCCCCAGTTCTACAAGCTGTTTGTTCTCGTTTACGTGACCCACCTTGCCTCCCCTTTTCCATTCTTTAACTTCTTCACTTCTATTTAGTACATGGGGCCCAGGAGCCGCCACCAGTCCCCTTTGAGGCGTTCCCCAAACCGCAGCTCAATTCATGTCCAAGCCACATTCACGTTTACCTACTAAAACGCCATCAAGCCTAAAATGAGGACACCCAGCGAGTGAATTCACAGGTTATTGTAATGTGTGAAGTACACAAAGAAAATGCTGTGAGAAATGAGATTGAGATCAAAGGAGATTTTCAAAAACTTGAACTCTGACCTTTGACCTTTAGATCAAGGTCACCGCGATTCAAACTCATCCTAGATATTTAGCCGATGCACCTATTTTATCCATTTGAAAATCCTAGGTCACTTTCTTCTCGAGTTATCGCATTCATAAGATTTTAAGAAAACTTGACCTCTGACCTTGAGGTGGAGGTTACTAAGATTATTTGTAGATACATCTATGGTATCAGTTTTCATTTAAAAACTTCTGTGTATGTGCAGCCTGCCCGGCAGGGTGACATCAACACCCCATCAGCCTTTTATGTCTGAGTAGGAAAAATGGAATCTTAGTCTGCAAAAACACACAAAGGTGCAGACACATGGAAAAACAGACAGTCAGAATTATAGTGGGATCCTTAGGGGGGATCATGAGAGGGTATTTTTAGTATGTCACAATTGGTCACCAGGGAGACAGGATTGATGGCGAGATGGGAGCATTAGCTGCTCAATTAAAGCTCTCTCTCTCTGAGTTTTGTGCATTGACTTCTTCCTACACAAGGAACATCCCATGTGACTTCACAAATGTCTCTTAGAGGGGGCATGAGTGCATGTCTGTTGTGTGTATTTGGGTCTGTAGTAAGCAGTATCCTCCTACCGCTGTCTACAGCCGTCTCTTCGTATTCGTTGGTGGAGGGCAGTGCAGGTACCAAAGGTTCCATGTTCATGATGAGATTTTTATGGCTCAGAGAGTTAAAACTTCGACTCTGACCAAACTGAGCTCTGAAAAACATGAACGTCATACATTTTTTAACACCCTTACATAACACCACCATGTGCACTCTGGTATTCATATCTGTAGAACAATAGATGAAATTGTCATTATTTTTATGTTTTATATGAAATAGTGTGACTTCAGGTAATTTCTCAGATGTCCTTACCTGCGCACTTCTGGTGGCTCTCTCTGAATTTTGGAGCTGGCTTCTATCACTTCCTTGGCTACTCTGCCACTAACACAGAAAAACACATAAGTTAAAGGTTGGTTTGTGTTTATAAAAATACTGTAATTGAAAATAAAATGTTACGATGGCAGGTCATTAGTCTCCCTACAGGCAGGTCTGTAAAAAATGTACTGCTTTTCATTTACATGCATATTTGTAGAACTATACAAACGTCCCGAGGCCCTTTGTGACAGTGATATGAATAAGTTCACTCTATGCTATCGTCTGAAAAAATAAGCAGTAGCTTGTAGAACCACCTTTTGCAACAATAATATGAAGTAATCATTTTCTATAAGTCTCTCACATCACAGGTATTTGTTTATGCGCAGCTCTCTTAAGGTCCCATCACAGCATTGCAGTCGGTTTGAGGTCCAGACTTTGACTGGACCATTGCAACGCCTCAAATCATTCCTTTTTCAGACAGTCTGTTGTAGTTGCTTGGGATCATTGTCATATTGATCCAAGTTGTTTGATAGACAGCCTCACATTTGAATCTAGAAATCTTTAGTGTGCAAAGGAGTTTATGGTCGGCTCAACAGCTGCAAATGTAGAGGTCCTGTGGCTACAAATTAAGCCCACATCATCAACCCTACCCATATGGAAAAGAAATAGTAAAACTTATAAAAGACTTGCATAAGATGTGGCCTATTTCATATAGTGAATCATATAATGCTTATATGATTTACTCATGAAAGTGGCCACTTTCTCATTACTTTCATATATTGTTTTATTAAGTATCCAAAATATACAAGTTTCATTTATATAATTTTTCCAACAGATCTTATATCTGTTTTCACTCTTGTATGCTTTTCATAAAAGTTTCACACAAGACAGATACAAACTTTATAAGATTTATATATATCTTTTCCATATGGGTATACTACCATGCTTCACAGTTTGTGCTGAAATTCGGTCCACTTTGACTTTCATCTGTCCAAAGCACATTGTTCCAAAAGTCTTATTTTTTGGACAGATATAATTTTGAACACCTAAGCTGTGCTGCCTTGTTGTTAGAAAGAAGAGGCTTTCTTCTAAGAATCCATCTCACCTAGCCACACTTGCTCAGTTGTTATCTAAATGTACTGCCGCAAACTTTAGCATTTAACATACTAACTGAGTTCTATAGAGTCTGAGTTTCTCTGAGCACTGCACAATCGGACTTTGGGGTGAATTTTCTGGGATGTCCGCTCCTGAGAATGTCTCGAATGAGTTTTACTTGAAGTAATCATTCAGTTAACGAAGTGCATTTGAATAGCAGCACTGGCTGCTACTTATACTCTTAATTTCTATTAATGCAGTAAGGGTCTATGCAGTTTTTCATATGAATGCAGAGTTTCCCATGAGCATTTTTTGTTTTTTAATGTGCTACTATAATTTCACGGACAGTATGTCTGAGTTACACCGATTGCTTCATGTCATAAAAGAAAAGGAGAAAATCAGATTTGATGCTACTCGGCTTACATTCAGTGTTGTTCCTGTTGAGCAGACAGTTTCCTGCCATCAGTCGGCAGCTTCATTAGTCAGACTGTAACTGCACTGTTTAAAGCCAGCAGGCTTCTTCATCTTACCCATTAATCTATTGTTGTTTAGACTGATGTTTAAGTCATAAATTAGGGGGTGATATAAAATATACGCACTTCATTTCTCAAGAGACAGTGGCATCAGCACTGGTGGAAATACTGGAATCAGCTGGATCAACACACATTATGTGAAGACCCGATCTGCTCGGCTTTGCATAAACTGCCTTCATTTATGGGATACAAATCTCAGTCCTGTTTTGCACAAATGACCAATTCCCATTTTTCAGAACAAATTCCACCATATGCTATTACTCATCGCTGAGCCCTTAAGCCAAAATGCTTCAGCGAGCTGATGAAATGGGGCAGGCTGAAGTGTAAGCCTGGTAAAGAGCTTTGTCTGAGAGGAGAATCAGGGCTCACTTAGCTTCAATAACAGAGTATATAGAAGCTTTCCGGTGATATTAGAGTCAGTAAATCATAGAAACCGGGATGTAGGTGCTGATGTGCAATGACGAGAACTCCCATCTTGGTTATTTGGTGTCTTGATGATCTAATTTTCCACCCATTTTTGTCACTTTGGCAACAAATGCATGGGGTAAGATGATGCTGCTGTTAGTAAAGAGTAAGGTGACAATGTGCAGGACCGAAACACTCTGTACACTTTTAGACAAAATTAAATCTTTACATTTCAGTGCTTGAAATTTACCATACCCCCCTTGTCTCTGTTGTTCCCAATTCTCTTTGCACATATTCCTTATGATTTCTTTAATCATATAATACGCCTCACCTGTATCTGAACCTGCTGCCTTTGAAGAAGATATTACTGCTGGAAACTGTTTTTATCTGACTTGACTTTGCACACCTGTCAGACACAGAAAGGAAGAATCAAAAAGAGACACATTACGTACAGCAGCCTTGCACACTGAACCCTGACTAACACATGTACTCGCAGAATAACAGATTTTTAAAGGCTCAAACTCTCATCACAATAATGTTTCACTCATTTTTTTCTTGCAGAACACAGAGTAGCCTCTCAGCAAGCTTACAGCACGGTGTGTCTTTTTAAAAGCTTATGGCTGGAGGTCAGACCTTCATGTTTCATTCTATATAATTTATCATGTGAAACCAGACTCCAGTGCAGCAGAGAAGGAGCTAGAGCACAGGCACACACATGTCTGCTCTCCTTCGTGCACGAGACACCATATGCTGGAAAAGCTCTGCTTGGCTGCCGTTCACAAACTCAATTCACTCTGATTTGATTTAGCGGCTCTGATGCTTGTCTGACATCCGAGCTGACATCCACTCCATCTCAGTCCGCCTTTTAGAGACACATGAGCTGCTGTCATTAGGAAGTAAGTATTCAGGGTTGTATGGGCAAGGGCTATTTTACAAATTCTTAACGCTGTCTTCCTTTTGTAAGATTGTCTGCATGTATGGTGCTTCTTGATAAAATAAAGCAAGGCAGAGAGAAAAGCATGTGAAAAGTGAAGAATGCCTGCAGTTAAGAGAGAGCGGGAGACCTTCAGATTGACTGACAGTGTGGAGGAGGAAGGCCACCGTAGAGAAATCCGTCACAAAGCAGCCTCCAGTTCTTGCGTCAAACCTTTGGAAAATCTCATCTCCTCCAGCCTGACCTCTCTCCATCAAATGAGACCAGCTGTTCAGAGCCGCTGAGCCTTCTTATCCCCCTCCACGCCCACACGCACTTTGCTGTTTGGTGCCTCTTCCTTTTCTTTTCACACGGCTCATCTTCTCAGACATGAGCAAAAGATCCAACTGCTAATATCAAGCTCAGGAACAACCTTAAATGAAGAATAGCCATCTTGGTTGTGGAATGATGAATAAGTGTGAAGCTGATAGGAAAAGATGAACGGTTCACGATCTCTTGAAGATCCTGGGTTGGTATTTTGTGCAAATTTTACATTGCAGATGTGACATCCTCTTGTGTTTTTCCATCTCAGTTGTTTTATATTCATCAGTCTGCTCTCCTCATATTCTCACTGAACTGGGATTGCCCACTATATTTGATTCTCAATTACATTAATGAACATAGATGTTAGCATCTTGTCTTGTCATGAACCTTGTTTCCCTTCCCTCCGTGCCAGTGGGGTCAATAGTCTTTGCAGATGAGATCAATGGCCTTGGAGCAATCAGCTGCTCCCCAGTGAAGGACGACGACATGTCCTTGCAGTACTGGGAGTAAATTAAGGAGAACGGCTGATAATGTGCTAAAATTAAGTCGGTTTTGAAGTGAAGCAAAATCTTGGCTCGATATAAGAGCTCAAAACGTTTCTACTGGAAGTGGGGTTTTGGTGTAAGCTGATCCTGCACAGTCTCAGCAGTTACAGGAAAAACTCAATAAAAATAAAAATGAATTTGTGTGCGTGTTTGTGTGTGTGCAGACGTACTTGTAAAAGGCCTGGTTCTCCACCCCGCACTTCCATAAGTGCTTACACGCTGCAGGGGTCGAGGTGTGAAATGTCAACACCAGCTTCTTCTACACAGAAAAGGACAAAGACAGAAAGAGTAACAGTGAGGATGAGAAACAAGCTTACTGGAAAAGAAAAAAACTGTGAATAAGGACAAGAAAAGAGCTGAACGTAATGTGAGGGAGCTGTGCAAAATGCTGACCCACAGACCCTAAGCTGTAAACTTGGCAAGATAAAGTCATTCGGTCACAGTGCTCAGCATTAAAAGGCTTCTACCTTGCAGAACATGGGTTTTTATGGACTAAGAGGAGAGATTTATTCCCGTAAACATCTAGTCTCTGGCTCTGCAAGTCTGGGAACGTGGGACGCCAGATCAATAAAGTTCAGCAAAGAGGAGAGAGGCAGAGACGAAGCAATGAAATCAATAACATGAGAATGAGATACTGTAACAGAATATGATATTATACCACTATAAGTGTCTGTTAAAATAAAAAACACTTCACTGTTAAGTTGACAGCAGTAAAAGGGTCCAGTCTGTGCCCACTTCATCAGCTATATTGCGCAGCCCCCAAACTGTCACATATCAGTTATATTAGGTATGCAAGTGTGATTTACACACATGTGCTTCAGTTGCCATGTGTGTGTTCACAGGTGTGTGAAGGCGCCAGGACTGCGTGTTAATCTGTCTTTGGTCCCACTTTGGCTGACGTGCAAAAGCACTGACTTGGATTTTTTGGGGGGAAAAAAGAGTTAATTGAAAAAAATCATCCACTGAGGGTAGGAAGAGACCAAAATTGTACAATCCAAAAAGAAAAAATCAACTCAGATGTCAGAAATGTATTTAACTACAATAAAGATTATGCTATTTACTCTGTGTGCCTACAGTAAAGGACCAATTAGGTTTATTAAAAGATCACGATCGTGGTTCAAATACAGCCTTTTACAGCTGCAACCACTTCTCTGCAACATGCTTTTCAGACATGCATGAACGCACAGCAGGGCGGCGTCCTGCATCAGCAGAGCCTATGTGGTCATTGCTGCGCGTTCACCGGTGCGTTGTGACACCTGATCGAGTGGCAGATGGGTTGTTCAAAAACACGCTTGTTTGGGGAAAAAAGGTTTTTCTAGAACTGCTCATCCAAACAAATTGAATCAAATGGGATTTGAGGTACAGTAGTTGAGCTAACCTTGAAAACTGAAGTAAGTCTTTTTTGTTCTTTACATATCACAGCTGATTATGAAACTGAGGTCCATGCACAGGGTAAGCCATGCTTGTGTGTTAGGAGTTAACTGTTGTGTCAGCCAAAAAGAAACTGACCAAGAATTTGTGACTTTGATCTCATAAAAGTGTTTCATCTATATAACCTGCAATCAGCTCAAAGTGGGACAGGTGGGTTTGGGTAATCAGAGGAGAGGGAAGAGTGAGGAGTGACCTGCCACATGGTGGAAAATTCAGGAAACAAGCATCGACACACAAATCCTCACATAAATAAAGTACACACACACCCACACAATCAAAAGGATGAAACGGTTATGAAAAAATTGAATGAGATGAATGAGACATGGATAGAGTTATAGATTAAACAGTGTAACACTGCATGTTAATCTATAGTTCACTGGAAGTCAGAGGGTGAATTTGATTACATGGTGAACAAGACGGGGACAGAAGCCACAGAAGAACTGTGATCATATGAAATGAGAGCAGAGAACTTTTATATGACACACAGCAGACAAACAGCACTTAACGACAATATCATGAAAAAAGAAATAAAACATGGATAAAAGGTTCCTCCAATCATAAAGTGAGGTGAGGGCAGGGCTGCGGGTAAAGGTGTCAAATTGAGGATTTAAATACAACAACGATTTGCGCTACTGTTTTTACTTGTATTTACTCACCAGAGATGACTATGTTTACACACAGAGAGAAGAGACAGAAACACAGAGATAATAGTGCATCTTCAGCCTTTCACGAGGAGCCGAATAGACAGACAAGGCTGACAGACTGACAAGTTAAGCAGCGATGAAAGAGCGGAACTGAGCTTCTGTAATGAAGACAACAGCTTTGACACTCATCGATTGGCTGATTGGTAGATTTAAGAGCAAAATGGCTTTAGCTGCAAGGATTTTCAGGTGTTTTTTGAGCCACTTCAGGCAGACTGAAGGTAAAGAGCACATCGGTTGTAAATCCTGAAAAAATAAAGTATGCAGATAGATGAGGCACTGAAACTGCTGCTCAGAATCTACCACAGCTCTGTTGGTTGATAAACATCAAGCAACCAGATGAAGCATGTGTCCCAAATGCAAGACATCCGCTGTTTGAAAGTTAGTACTTGCTTTCTGTTTCAGTTTGGAGACACCGTGTCATATACTGTAGTTTATCTTTGTTAGGGATGCGGTGCTGTGAAGGAGTCTAATATTTGGGCCACAGTCAGCACATAATGTGAATTAGGAGGTTGTAACACACCCACCATCCTGTTACAGTGAATCCTGCCTGTTAAGGAGATCTGAAACAGCGACACACATATACAGTGTGTGTGATGGTGGACAGGATAACAAATAGTACAGTCACTTAGCACATTTATCTGACAAAACCATTACACAGATGAGGATAGGGGAAAAGGGGAGGGAGAAGGGAGGAAAGAAGGAGGAAAGAGAATGAAGGACGTCCGTTTTGCTCAGGGTTGGCAAACAGTCACTAACACACAGCTGATCTCAAATTCTGCAGTCTGACTGTGCAACGTTTGCCTTTGTAATAAGTAATGAACACATGTTAGAGGTTTATATCTAACAAGTCAGCAGGATGTTGATGACTTTGGTGCAAAAATGCACAATTCATCATCAGGACATAGAGGAAACTACACATCTCACTTGAGTCATCATTTTTAACCTTTTAGAGACACTTCGCTCACCTCTTTCTGAATGCCAATGACGTAAAAGGTTTTTCCTTCAAACTTCAGCTTGCTAACGTCAGCCCTGCAAACAAACACAGAGTTAAGACTTTGAAATATCTGCAGATGAGAGTTAAATATAGGCTAAATGCTATACTTAAAGCTTTAAGTACATTTAAAGTACTGCTGTCATCGATTGTGTCATTGTAAAGATGTCTTCACAAGAAGCCACCCAAGCAACACAAGTTCCAGTTGCTGATGTCATAGAGAAAAAATGCCAGTTAAAATAAATATTGGGTTAAAGGAAACTTTGATTAAAGGATCAAATGTATATTTGTACTATGGTTGGCCTTTAATTGTTAACCAGGTACAAGTAGAGCAACTTAGAATAGTACCTTTAGGTAGGCAACCTCCTTGAGACCAACAAAGGGCATCACAGTCTGAAGTGATTACACTCACTCTCAGAAAGTTTGGTGGGATTTGCAAATAACTGCAGCTGAACAGATTGGCAACACATTGCAATCAATCTGCGTAAGTCTGCACTGATGAGCAGAACTTGCTTGCAACGCATCTCTTAGCAACAGAGGACTTGACTCAGCTGGTTGTCAGCTGGTTGTATTCTTTTTATATTCCTATATAAAACCAAGGTTGCTAAGCGCCTATGTCATTTTGCCATTAAATCGCAATCTATCGCCATTTATCACAGTTATTTGCTGTAGTATCACAAACAGATTGTAGGTAATTGCCAAAGTGATTCCATTCATTGGCAAATGATAGCAGAGTTCCTATAAAGCTGCAACTATTTTAAACATGATGACTTTGCAAATTAAAGTGCAAGTTCATTGCACTGTCATTTGTTGGGCTGCGTTCATATTCTTTTTTACATTTTTTTTACACACATAGCTCACTTCAAAAACTATTATGTGTTTTTATCAGTTTAATTACCAATGGTGCATAGTTTAAAATAGCACTCTATCAATTCTTATTACTTTTGATAGATAAACTACATTTTTCTCCTTATTCTTATGAACTTTTGTTTAAAACTATGAATATGGAGGTACTACAACTGCTGCTTAAGGAAAGCATGGCTATAGGAAATGTATGGATTGGTTTTAAGTGTATTTTAACACTTTGTTGCAAGATAATCTTATGGATGTCATGTTTAAATAAACAAACGGTTCTGCCTGCAAGGAAAAGTTAGAGATGATTATTTTAATTTGCTTCTAATAAAAATTATAAGTTTAGCAATACTTCAGCGATAAATCATAAATATAGAGTTTTCTGCAGTTAGCTTTGTTAGTGATTAGACATTTAATATTTATGTTTAATGATTGACAATTGTGGCTACACAGTGTAGTGGTTTGCTTTTTTCCCAGCACATAAAAGACTCCCAGTTCAAGACTGGAGACGGTAATCTGTTAAATGCTGTGAAGGGAAGGGCGTCTGGTGTAAGAATATGTGGAGCCTTCTGCTGTGCTGACAACCTGTGATTAAGGGAGCAGCCAAAAGAAGCTTTTTACAGGTTGATGTTTTTACCATTTGAGGAGGTGAATCCTCTTGTTTCCCTGGAAGACCACAAAACCTGTGGCTGTGAACCCAAGAAAGGCAGTAGAGCCTGTAAAGTCCTGAAAAAAAACACATATCGCAGCATGTGAGGCAAGTGGACTATCTATAACCTCATTGGTTGATGCATAAAATCCCATGTTTGTCATTAAACTTTTTAATTAATCAAGAACAAGGCAGTTAACCTGCAAAATCTAAATAATAACTTCCACATCATTAATCATCAGTAAATCTCTAAATTTGTATTCATCTCTATATATCTGTGTAAATCCCTCCCTTTCCCCTGTGTGCTTCCCACATCTTAGTGCTTACTTACTTTATCTCCATAGATCTGCATGTGCATGATAGTACAGTACTCGCAGTAACAGCTATTTCCAGCAAACTAATTTAAAAAAAAGCCTGCCAGACAAAAGTGGAACAGATAAAGGGGATCCTTCCCACTAGACAGAATTTAAATATCTTGTTAATCTGCTTTGTATCCTTTGATTTGTCTGTTCACAAGAGGATGTCCCTATTTCACACTTCAGCTTGGCAGAAGATGAACAGAAAGGATGAGAGCGAGCCATGAGCAAGTTGTAAAATATTGTTTTTCTTTATCAGATGCAGTCTGTTCAATCTATTGGGATAGCGCAAGAAACAAAGAAACAAGTAACAGGAGAATGAAGCAGAATAGCAAGTGTAACATATCTGATAGTACAGTCTAGTTTTAGCAATTTAAAGCTGAAAGACAAATCAATGACACTTTCTAACCATGGTGGTCTCTGATCAGTCAGTGAAGTCACTGTTTCCTCAGAACAGTGGCTTCTTTATGGACCTAGTTTATTTAGTTTTCCAGGAGGGAACATTAACTAGCTGGCTTGGATGTGATAGCTTAAATTGCACATAAACTCTTGGCCTTAAATTATTTCCTAATCTGCTTGGAGCAAGTATGTGAGGCCAGATAGAAAGGTGCTATTATGCGACACGCCACTGGATGGCACTGTTTCTTTTGGGAGCAATAGGGACGTTTACGGAATTGCTAGCTTGCGTCGGCGCAACATGTGTGTGCAACGGTGTTTTCGTGTAGTAGTAGTAGCAGTGGGTTACCAGTGTGGAGAGCTATTAATTGGTGACAGCGGTCGGCAAAATATTATTTTCTTGTAAAACCTCCATATTTTCATCTGGACACTTACTTAATCTGTGTCCTGGGCTGGTTAATTTTGCCAGCTGCACAGCTGGTGCGATTGTCCATAAGATACAGTATGTACCATCTGTCTAGAAGGTCACAACAAATTTCACAGGCCCAACCATAGACTGTGTGCATAAAAGATGAATGTAGCTTTTGCATCTGAAAAGTTCATCCAAAGCATAATTGCTTTAAAACGTGCATACTTCTTAATGGCCAGCAGGGGGCGCCTCATGTTGGTGCAAAAACACTTCTGGGTGTATACAAGTCTTTGGGAAAACAGCCCTTGGCTCTCTTGCTCTGTCAGCTCAGCAAACCCTTTTCTGGTGACTTTATGAGCTCAACCCTTAGTTTAAGGTTGTCCTTAATAAAATATTACTTTCTTTTCTAAAAACTTATGGTCATTATTAAAATGGAAAAACTATACTCACTGGCTGTTGAGCTGTACATCTGAAATCATTAGTCAATGAGTGTGTGGTTTCACAGTCAGATCCAGCACTAGCTTTTAAGATGGCAAAAATACTCACCTCAAAGCTTTAGAACGGGAGCTCACTAAACAACATATGTCACGGTGGCTACATCCATCTTTTATATACAGTCTATGGAACACGCAACACCCTATGATGACGAAATCACACGAACACAAGTGGATACGCACATGCTTGTGTGCATGGAAAGTATAACACCCACATGAAGCCATCTGTGTGAAACTCAGTGCGTAACCCATTATGTGTATAGCTACTGTGTACTGTATATATTCTCCAGTTACGTTACCTTGCATGGGTGAGGGTCGACTCCATATGTTTCAAGACTGTGAGCCCTTTGGAGCATGTTCAGCTCTGCTAGCTCAGCACACTGGCCCCTGAAAGAAAATAGAGGAAAGGAGAGACCCAACTTTATACACTGACAGACTGAAGAATATGTTATTAAGGTGTTCCTATGTTGGATTACTTTCAATTGGATTTCAGTTAAATGTCGGATACAACCAGATAGAAAATCAATACATGCAATTATCTTATTAGAATTTTGAGATTTAAAGGTCAATATCTAGTGAGTTTGGTTGTGAACAAATTTGCGTTGACTTTTTATTCTAAGGATTGCTATTTTTTCTCCAGCGGTGAAGAACAGCACTAACCATCCACTGCTAGGCTAGTTTCTTTTACAAGGACAAGGTTGCTTGTCGTACTAAGTCTACAGTATTTAGACAATATCAGTTTAAATAAAAGTATTACAGAATTTTTCACCAATTAAAGTGTGTACAATTATCTCTTATTATTATAAAAGGAAACAGTCATAACAAACCAGGCAAAGGGGTTGGGGGTGGGGGGGCATTAATGCTTTACTTGCTCATTAGTCTAAGTGCTGCAAATTAGGAAAATGAGTGTGGTACACTGGTTCACTTCAAGACTCCAGACATATAAATCAACTTTAAAATTGCACACACATATATTGGATCTGTCTGTGCAGATAAAGGAAAGCATAAAAACCATTACAGAATGCCTGTGGAAATGTAGCTTGCAGACAGAGTGCTTCCCATTCAAAAATCACCTGAAGTCTCTCTACAGCTCAGTACTGATCAACATGCTGTTAATCCTGTCAGTCGTACCCATCGGGCCAGACAGAGGGCACTTGGCATCATCTGCCTCTGTGCTGTGGGAAATGAAGGATTTGTCTTTGATGTTTTATAATCACTGTTAAGTGTGACGGTCATGACATTATTAATCTGCTGCAGCAACACACAAACAACTCAGGAGAGGGGATTTATGTATACAGTACTGCATGTAATGTAATGTAGAAACTTATTCTGTACCTGTAGAGTACATAGTCAATCGACTGAGTACATGCTTTTTTAATGACTTTTTACTCAAACTATTCTTTATTGCAGAACCATTTTCCCTTCAGGAAAGGTAATCACATGGTTGAAAAGAGGCGAATAAGGGTTCAAAGATACAGTTGTGGTACCCAGAATGCCTAGCTTTTGTTCATATGCAAAAGAACACAAGACTATCAAATTTATCAGGGATGACTGATTTTCATCAAAATTTAAATTCTGTAGTAGTAACAAGCGAGGTGTCTAAACGGAGCATGAAATAAATAATTCATGCTCATTCCTCTAAGCTAATGGATGTTTTTATTTACTTTCAAACAAATCTCGACTGAGAATACCTTCTCCAGTGCAATGAAGCTTAAATCTCTGGGTATCACACAATTCTGTGTCTAACCAGAAAGAAAGGCAGCATTTTATTGTCTGCTGTGTAGACAGTTGTCTCAGCAGCCTGTTATAAAACACAGATCACAGGAGTGAGCATAGCACCTGTCACCAACATCAAATGGTACAACAATAAAAAAAATACTGGCGGCCGGTAATGCTATCCCTCAGCCTCCTAGTAGATGCTCCTATGGTATAAATGTGCAACTCCTTCATCACCTTGTTATCGTATTCTCAAGATCTTCAAAAAAGTAGCTGCGCCAAAGCTCAATTAGTTCAAAAATCCTCCTTGCCTTATCATCGAGTTATTACATTCACAAACTTGGCTGTACACACTGCCTGTCTGCCTGGCGAGGTGATAACAATACCCCCAAAAGCCCACAATAGACCAAAAAAGCCTTCTCCAGACAAACAGCAAAACCACGAGACAAAAAAAAGATATTAGTCTTTCACCTGAGCTCATTCTTGTGAATTTCCATTATCTTCCTCTCCAGTTTGAGGGATTGTTTAGGGAACAGCTTGAAGTCTCTGATGTAGTCTGATGGGTGCTCCTCTGGGTCATAGTCCCCAAGCTCAGCTATAAAGAGAAAGGGTGATTTCAGTAAAAACAAATATCTGTAAATAGGTCAAATACATCAGGAAATGAGTATATAGTGTTTGAGAACTTATATAAAGAACTAATTTAACACACCTTGACTGCATATATAGTATGTAGCTACAGTTAGTAGTCATGTTGCTCAGGTTAACATAAAAACTGCATTGTAAAGCAAAATTAAATAAAGAAAGACATGTTTTATTTTGCAAATAAGCTTTACTCAACTAGAACATTGCATATTAAGCAAGATTATAATTTTTAACTTTAATTTTATAGTACTTATTCCATTTACATGCAACTGCTTATATATTTCTATTGTAGGATTGCAAATGGCTGGGTCAGGACACTTATAGACTGCAAGCTATTATTAGGCATGGTCACACTGAGTTGTTTTGTATTTGTGTGTAAGATTTGTGTGTAAAGTGTTAGAATAGCTGTGACACCATGGCTGGACGGGAGGCTGGAGCGGGATGGCTATGGTAAATGGCCTGTATTTGTATAGCGCTTTACTCAGTCCCTAAGGACCCCAAAGCGCTTTACACTACATTCACCCATTCACACACACATTCACACACTGGTGATGGCAAGCTACATTGTAGCCACAGCTGCCCTGAGGCGCTGACAGAGGCGAGGCTGCCGGACACTGGCGGCACCGGGCCCTCTGACCACCAGTAGGCAATGGGTGAAGTGTCTTGCACAAGAACACAACGACCGAGACTGTCCGAGCCAGGACAGCTCGAACCGGCAACCTTCCGATTACAAGACGAACTGCCAACTCTTGAGCCACGATCGCCCTGGCTACGACCATATTAGCTGTTAGGGTTAAAAAAAACTTCCAGTTCTCCCCCACAGAAAGATAAAAAGCTCATATAGCACCAAGTACAAAATGCCTGCTGTAATATTAAACAGCTTTGCATCATCAGCAAATTTCCTGGTTGCTCAATCTAAGACAAAGGCCCAAAGACAGATCTTTTCCTTATTTTTTTTTATTTCCACAGAATAAGATACTTATGAGCAATTGACTCAAATAACAGATTATTGTTGTGCTCAATGAATCCACTAATTTATTTTTTTAATGATATCTTAATTAAGTATATTTATAAAGGTTTAATCAAAAACTTGCCTGGAGTTTAATTAAACAATAATCCTCAAACTATTCCCCAGCTCTATAATCAACACCCTGACAAAGTAGGACAGAGATGATACACTGCAGACATGCTCTGTTTTGAGATAAGTGAACCAGTCACACTCTCTTCTCTGGGGATATGAGCCAATCAGAGGGTGTTAGCACAGTTCAAGGATTTGTGTATGAGCCACAAGGGTTCATTTATATGATACAGCCCAGCTAATTCTTTTCTTAATCCATATTAAAGCAAGTGGCTCTGCGCTGTGATTCAGCATTAAACGGTTACGTTTAATTGACTGTAGAAAAAAATCTCTTTTATTCCTTTTCCCAGTAGTCCACATACATCTACTTTAAAAAAATGTAAGATAATGACAGTGTGATGCTGTGAAATGCAGCCGGTTAATGAGGACAAACTTAGTCAAACAGGGGTTAGACTGTGGTTACACAGAGGTTGGATGAAAGTTAAGTTACATTTGATATAATTAGGTAAGATCATTGTTTGGTTCAAATACACAGTTAAGCACATTAAGTTAAATGAGTGTTGAATTTTACCCAACACAGTGCAAGAGGATGCTCAAATTTAAAACTATAATTCTGTAACACTAGATTAACAGACTGTGTAACTATACATAGTAATGACAGTTAGCTGAACTTTTTAAATGCTTGAATTAGACATACAAGTATTTATAAATCAGTAAGATGTAAAAAAAAAAAAAAAAAAAGGTAAAAAAAATGTTTTTTTTTAAAAAAAGCACAGAATAGAAATCTTGAATTAAACAAACTTAAAACAGCCCTTCGACTTAACCTTAACCTAAAATAGGTATTTTACTTTTAGTTGGCATAATTTTTAAATTTCCTAAACGTTTGTTCTTTGCAATGAGCTTGTTTATTCAAGCTTAATGAAGAAAATGATAAACCTGCAAACATGTGGACTACAGTTGATATCTGATTTTACATGTTAAAATTGTGTTTGTCAGTGATTTTCTATAAATGACATTAAAAACCACTGATGATAAAAACATCAGATAGACAAACTAGCATTAGATAGTGTGGTGTTGGTCCCCCACCTCACCCCCACGGATAATGTCAGATGGCCTCCTCTCACTGAGGTTTATTCCTGCTAAAAGGGAGTTTTTCCTTCCCACTGTTGCCAAAGCCCTTGCTTATATTGGGTCATATCATCGTTGAGGTTTTCTCTGTTTTCTTGGTATTATCTTAGTGTTGTTGTGATTTGAACTATATTCAAATTTTGATTTAATTTAATTTATTTAATATTTAAATAAATATGGATTAAATAAGGAAATAAATGCATTTGCAGGCACAAACGGTGATTTGTTAGTAGTTATTTTACAGCTTGTGCTTCTTGGACTTCAGCTGATTGCTTTTTATTTGAGGCTACAGACTACAGATTTCATTGTCAAGAATCAACAGCTCAGACACCATAACTCAAATTTGTAATTACAGTTTCTTAACTTAATTTGATGTGTTCATTCTATTCAAATTATGAAGCACTTTGCAAATGTGCATTCTGGAAAAGGCTAGAAAATATTATCCTTTTTCTTATTCTTATTACAGCCACAACCCAAGCAGCTCAGTCATTTCAGTAATAGCAGCCCTTATAATTTACAAATTAAATTGTGTAAATGTATATGTGTGATTTTCATTTAAAACTCCAACATGTCACCAAGGATGTAATTGTGAAATATTGGCTACATCTCTAATACATCCACTATGAGTAAGGCCTCACCCTGTATGATGCAGGCTCCCAGATATGCAGCTTCAGCAAAAGGACACAGTAGACGACCATGATAGATGTCTCTCTTCAACTGAAGGTACAGGAGATACCTGGATGCACATGCATGCATAAAGTTACAGAAAGAAATTCTTATAGCATAAATACAGATTTTATTTAAAATAAATCAAATAAATAAAAGACGTTTAATTACAATATACTATATAAAGCCACTGCTCACATTATGAAGGGGAACCAATATTCCGCTTTCACAATTTCTATTTCTAAATAGTTGGGATGAAAATTCACCATCCAATGAGAAAGTAACAATCTGAAACTGTTGCCATGGTAGTTAAGGAAAGTATATCTATGGCAACATATATCTTCACCAGCACAATGTGGTACTTTTGCTACTATGGAAACACCTTCAGTGCTACTGACACGCAGACTTGTCTCGTGTTAGCGTGAAGACAAAAAAAAAGTGGGGAACAGATTAGTTTCCAGTTGGGACGTCACCACTGAGTCAACTGACTCATCAAACTTGTTTTTCATTGAGGGAAAGACGCAGGAGAGGCAAAGCATAAAAGATTGAATGGAGCGAAAACCCTGCTGCTGTAGCTAAATAGTTTTATTTATAGAGTCAGAGTGCAGCTGACTCTACAAATAAACACCATGATCTACATTTAGATAATTTTTCTTTCTTTGTGCTTCCTCTTATTTTAGGATATTGAGTCAGAATGTCTGCATACACAGATTTGCTTTTCAGGTTTCTTAAATGACTTAAGCGTAGAAAAAGCCAGATTAAGATTTGGTGCACACTTAAACAAAGATATGATGTCGTTATTCTGCATGAAGATAAATTTAAATTCTACAAAAAGAGCACCTTTCTATACTTCAGTTTGCAATTATGAATGAATAATGTCAATATAGTATAAATAATTGACAAAACATGTCAAACTTCTTCATGTGAGTGTATTCTTTTACACAAATAATGTTAAAATTACTCATGTGTGTTATATTGGCTAGATAAGTAATGAAGAGGACCTTCATTATAGTCCGCCTGACTCTGTAAAATCCTTTGATAACGATTAAGTGCTGACTTTGCCCTTTAATTCCAGCACTGTGAAATATCTGTGTATGAAAATGAACAGAGACACACAGTCAGCATTTGGTGAACTCTGAACTGCATATTTAATTAAAAACAAAAAAAGAAGTCCCTATGCACTTTTCTGCCGTGCTAAAAATGACACCTGTTAGCAATTATTATCCGTCATGTGAGGTACCAAACAGCTAATACCATAATCAATAATTACAGATCTATAGAATAGTGGGTTAACTTTTTCATCTATCTTCAATAGTGCTTCATATAGAAGAGTTAAAATTACATCTTGCAAACTTGAGCAGGCACATTTTACCATTAAAAGTTTGGGGATTTTGATGATGGGAAAAAAATTGCTCCCAGACATAACTCCATATTGAGAACTCGACAGGATTTTATTACTGACTGCATTTCCTTCTGAACTTTTCCGTCTCATCTCAACTTCATCTTCCACTTCAAACTTATAAGTAGTGTGCCAGTGTGATGCTTTTCCTTAGGACTCTAAGAAGAGGTTGTTTGTTTCTTTAGGACACGTGAATGAACAGAAATGGACACGCAGCTCTTTCAGAGGGAGGAAGAGCTAATAAATAATACATCTGGAGAAAAACTGAAGCAGAATTCAGCTAAGTTGAAATTAGGCAAGAAAAGAGGGATAGGTTCCAGAAATATCTCAAGAAAAAAATATAGGACAGAAAGACGCGGAAACATGACTTGGAGGGTGTGAGGAGACACCTGAGGGTGGAGGGGGAGTTGACGGTGAGGAAGAAGAACGATCGACAGCAGGAAGGGAGGAGACACTGGGGGCGGAAAGACAAAAAAAACAAGCGAAGGCAGAGAGGAAAAAGGATGGAAGTGAATGGATGGAGGAAGAGAAAATTAGGACTGATAAAGAGAAGCAGAGTTGGTAAGACGTAGGGCAGAGAACACAAGTCCCTGCTGGGTGAGTGTCTCTAATTATCACTGCGCCTGAGAGAAGCTTTGTGTGTTTGGGTCTGTTTTGGCAGAGGTGGCGCTGGTGTTGAAGCAGACTCTCTCCAAATCTTTTATTTAGTTTGTTTACTTATATAGTATTCATGGGCTCATCTACAGTTTCGAGAGCCTTTACCTCTGGCTCAGTGTATAACACTGGTGTGTTTGGACTGTGTTCAGTCAATGCCCAACTTTAAGTAATCAATGACTTGAGAAAATTTAATAACGCATTCTGAAATAGTTTTATAAGTCATATATTAGTCTGTTTTTAGACAAATCAGTCAGACAAATGTCTTCATCTGTCACTACCATATTTTTATTAGGTATAGCTTGCTAGTACCAAGTTGGACTTTCCTTAATTCTGCATGGCAACGACATTTTTCAGAGGCTTTGTTTCATATTGACTTCCACTCACTGGATATTTTCAGTTCTTTCAACTCCTCTCTCTAAGGATATTTGTCCATGAAAATCCTCTGAAATACTTTACATTTTTTCTCAGCCTGCCTTCTTTCTCTGCCACTCATATGCCATTGCCAGTGCTTGTTTACCTGGTGAGCTCTTCCTTGATTTTCATTGGCTCATGTGGGTAAAACTTGACCCGGAAGCACATCGTGTACGGCTGCTGAGCTGCTGGAGACAAGAAAGACACGATGTTGAGATGGAAAAACTAAGAGAGACCAGAAACTGTAATGAAAGCTAAAAGGCTGTTAGAACGTGGAGAAAAAAAGAGGAGATAAGCTTGACAGATATGATGAAGGGAATCAGAAGGAAAGTAGAAGATTTTAAGAAACAGATAAGAAGAGGAAAGAAGAGGAAAGATAAATGAGGGGAAGAGAGGACAGAGGAGCCATGAGGATTATGTAGAAGAAGAAGCTGGGGACAAAAACAGAAACCACAGCATGTCTCCAATACTGATTAGTCACCTCATAATTACAGTAATTACTCACACACACACACACACACACACACACACGGGCATGTGCTTCACTTGAACTGGGGTCTGTTTCTTCTCCTTTGATCTGAGTCCTAAAGCATTTCATATCTCTAGGAGAGGATTTGTGCTTTGAATAGTATTTAAATATGCACCGTAACATATATACACAAGGTTACATAAGCGGTCACAGACACACACACATATACTCAATAACAGGCTGAAGGGTTTGGATCAAATAACAGCGATAGCTTCAACTCCCTCCTGAGGTCTCACACAGCTCATCTGCTTATAAACATATTCAGTGTTTACCCTGTGAAGTTAGAACATTTACAAGATATACAAACACCAAAACACTGAAACACTGAGAGGAAACCATCATACACAGCAACAGATTTAATTATATACAGTAATTGTATATAATGCATTATAAATAATTTATACTTCCTGAAGTGAAAATAGCACAGATGAGATTTTTTTAAAAGTCTGAATTTATTTTATTTTGGTTATTAAAGAAATAAAACATCTTAAAGGACCCTTTACTCATCTCATTCAAATCACTCCCATTTGGTGTTTTTGGCGCTTACTTTAACCTCTTAAGCCCCAACGCCCCCTGATACGGGGGCAAAAAGCAGGAGATCAGGTAGGCTTGGGGCTTAAGAGGTTAATTAACAGAAAAACAGTTAACTGATAGCTTTGGTCTGAGGATCTAGTGATCAAATGCCAGAATTTTGTTCGCTCGATATAAAATTTTGACTCCATGTTTGGTTCAAAGCGTAGATCAAAGCGTTGCGGAGATTTGATGTCACTTCCTGTTTGGCAGCTTTGCAACAGATTTGAATTTTCTGATGGACACAATCAATCCAATTTTGTGGTTTTCTACATTTGCTTGCTTTGGGGATACTCTTTGCCAGTTTTGAGAGTGGAAAAAATTGCAGCCTGTGAACTATGTCAGAAAATCTAATATTATGGTTACAGACGCCACGGGGTCCATATCCATTATAGAGGGTCTGTAGCCTCGAATTTGCCTTCTCTGACGCATGAATGTTGAAAGCTAATATTTGAAAGTTTGGGTTTTTTTAAGTTCATATCCATAAATGTGCCTCCGGGTTCAGGCCTTTGCTAGTGACAAAGTGTTGAAGGCTATTAATGAAACTTGGGAAAAGGGAATGAAAAAAATGAAATGGAAACTTTATTGGGTGATTATAGACTAAAAAGTCAGCAGATGAAAAAAAATATATGTTATTATATAATTAACAGCTACAAAACAGCAGGGATAGTTTACAGAAAGACATTTAAACCACGAGTAATAAATCCAACATGACAGCTGAATCACCTGTGCTTCATTATTTTGAGGTAGAAAGCTACAAATCTTAGAAAAATGAAGGAGTTGTTTTGTCTTTGTTGTTCTCACAGGTGAAGTTTACTCGCGTACACATGTGAGTTACTTTGAGTGCACATGGAGAGATTTCAAAGAGGATGAGGCAAAGTAGACGCTTAAAACAAAGATGCAAAAGTATCTGATAGGCATTCTGAAGTCAACATCAAGGAGGAAGAAAGTATCATTTCACATGGGATAGAAATCATCCAGAGTGCCCTCACCACTCTCCCTTTAATGGCAGGATCCTCTGCGGTATTATCCAGCTATGGAAAACAGCACACATCTACATAATACATGCTGAGCAATTTGAAAGAGCCAATCCTCCCACCCGCTCCCAAAGAACTTGAGCTGCTTATAATTATTTCTCAAGCTTAAGGGACGAAGAGGTTTTTTTGGAAAACATTTTAGAGAAAGTGAATTGTGCGCAAAAGACATGGCCGTGTAAATGTGACGTTTGCCAACGCACGTAAGCTGGGATGCACAAAGACGAAATAAAACACAAGTGCACGCACACATTGAAACCTAATTTGGGAGTAAATCCTGCCACAGGGAACTGATGTGTCAGTGCAACTCAGATCTATTCAACAACTCCCCTCTAATCTCGTTTTCTTTCTTTCTTTCTTTCACTCTGTCAGCTTCTCTCATCTCAAACCGTCTCTCCAATTTCCTCTTTTCGCTCTATTTTTCTTCTTTCTTTAGTTACGTTATCTATCACTGTCTCCTTTTAGTACTTTCCCCCCCTTGTTCCCTCTCTCTCCCTTCCAGTTTTCACCGATATCCTCAGCCTCCCTCTTCTGTCATCTCACACATGTTCCGATGGAGCAGAATACTTCGCTAATAGCTCTGTTATTAATTTATAACAGGACAGAAAGAACAGGACAGTCATTAAAAGGGTTAGTGAACTTCAGACTGAGACAAGGAAAGAAAAGGAGGGTGGGAGAGAGGGAGGAAAGCCGCTGCAATCTTTCAACACAAGATAGAAATGTAAAGATGTGAAAGAGTAAGTGGAAACGAAGGAAAACAAAGGTGAAAACAAGGACCACTCTCTTATTTACCTTTGTATTGTGTCCTCTTTTAGGGTACTTAGATTGTATGATTATATGTGTCACATTCTCAAGGCTATTATAGTTATACTGAAAAAACATTGGCCAAATCTATCAGAGGCAAACATCAAGAGGGAAAAGGAGGCTGTGCTCAGCTTGAAACCAACCCCTCGGGCTGTTTGTGTAAACTCTTATTACAATGTAAAAGTAAAATTAAGTGGCCTCCAGGGACACATTAAATGCCACTCTGGTGACCTTGAAAATGTGAAAACTTGACCTTTCCCTAAAGCCAAATAGAAAGGTCCATCCATCCATCTTCATCCGCTTTGTCCGGGGCCGGGTCGCGGGGGCAGCAGCCTAAGCAAAGAGGCCCAGACCTCCCTCTCCCCAGCCACCTCCTCCAGCTCATCCGGGGGAACACCAAGGCGTTCCCAGGCCAGCCGAGAGATATAATCTCTCCAGCGTGTCCTGGGTCTGCCCCGGGGCCTCCTCCCGGTGGGACATGCCTGGAACACCTCACCCAGGAGGCGCCCAGGGGGCATCCTTACCAGATGCCCAAACCACCTCAGCTGGCTCCTTTCGATGTGGAGCATCGATCTGAGCCCCTCCCGGATGGCCGAACTTCTCACCCTATCTCTAAGGGAGATGCCAGCCACCCACCAAATAGAAAGGTTAGCCATGAAACCTAATCATATGGAACAAGTATAAACAACAATAAACATCGAGCTACACTGAAGCCCAGACACAACTAGAGCTGCAGTTTCCTGGTAAAAAAATAAATAAAATAAATCTGGTGTGTTTGTGTATCCATCGCTTCTCATTTCCTTAAATGAATCTGTTTTCTCTTTGAGGGTGAAACACACCCATGCACTTTATTGGGTACTGCGATGGACCCTCTTCTGTTTTCAAAACATGCTTAATTTTTCATGCAATTTTATTAATTTTCATCCATGTTCCACTACTGGATTTAAAACTCACAACAATGAAAGATATTATTATTCCAGATTCTACCCTACCATGTCAGTGTTGCAGCAGAAATTAAAACCCTTCAGATCAGGCAACATTTTTTCAATCTTCTACTGCCCAATTTTGGTGAACTCGTTCAAATTGTAGCCCCAGTTTCCTAATCTTAGCTGACAGAAGTAGTATTCAGTGTGGTTTTCTGCTAGAGCAGCAGCAGACCACACCAGGTACAACCCCTGTTCTCTTTGAGTTTGTCGTTTTAGTTTAGTTTAGCTTCAGTGTCCTGTTTCCAGAAGGTAGGAAGGGTCAAGGAAAGGCATCTTCTGCTGCTGTAGCCCATGTGCTTCTAAGATAAACATGTTGTGTGCTCAGAGATGCTCTTCTGCTTAGATCAGTGGTTCTTAACCTTGTTTGAGGTACCGAACCCCACCAGTTTCATATGCGCATTCACTGAACCCCTCTTTAGTGAAAAATAAAATATGATTTTTTTCAAATTCAAGACATAGGTATGGGATATTGGTGCACAAAATGAGCCGTGCATGTCACGGTGGAGGCTCTGCCGAACCCCTGAGACCGACTCATCGAACCCCTAGGATTCGATCGAACCCAGGTTAAGAACCACTGGCTTAGATTGTTTCACTGAGCGGTTACCGATCACCTCAAATTAGGCGCATCTGACATGAACAAAGAATTTTTGCCCAGAGAACTGCTGCTAGTGGGGTTTGGTTAATTGGTGATTCTAAATTGCCCATAGGTGTGAATGTGAGTGTTGATGGTTCAATGTCTCTATGTGTAATAGGCTAGAGCTCAATTTTAACTTCAGCAAGTTGTCTTGAGCATGCCTACATGCCTAAATGCTGCTATGTGATTGGTTCATTAGATATTTGTATTAATGAGGTGTTGTATGCGTGTACCTATGTCACTGCATATTTCATTTCGGTAAACCTTACATGGATACATCCAGAAAATGAATTTTGTCTTACATCACATTATCCTAAGGACTTGTTAACCAAACAGAATAGTCAAAAATGGGACAACAAAAACAGACAAATAAAGTAATCAGATAAAATCTGCATCCTTTTCTGGAGATGGAAAGTAAAAATATCTTTCCTGTTTGTGGTGATTGTTATGAAGCTTTGAATGAGGCCTGCACATAAGGCAGGCAGGCTGTTTACTTGTTTTTGTACTCTCATAAGCTTGTCTTCCACTGCAACGTCTTTGCAACGTGTGACTTTTTTCCTTTTTAGGCCACTTGTCCCTCTGGCAGTGTTTTGTGTTTCTGAGAAACAGTTCTCTTGTCACTTTGTCTGTCTTCATTGTGTCTCTATTGGTCTCCCTGCGGGACTTCAGAGGAAAAACTCATGTCCAACATTGCCTGACTCTGTCACAAGTGGGTGGGTGATAAAACTCTTAAACCTAGATGATCTAAATGTTTTTTTTTTAATTATTATTACATAAACAAATAAAATGTATCTGTTTTCAATTAATAACATAAACAGATTTTTTTGTACTCCTATCCTGTCACTTTAACAATGTTGCGTGTACGATGTTATGGCCTTGTTAGAGTCCCTGTGGTGGTGTCGGCTTGTTTGCCATGCTTGACCCCTCACACCAGAGTGACCCTCTGGAGACAAATGCACGGCATAAGAAAACACACTCACACTCGCAAATACACAGACACATGCATGATGCTTTGCATCTCTATACACACGTGCTGACACAGAAAAGGAAACAGAAAGTGCACTCACACTTCATCTGCCTCACTACGGGTTTATTGGGCTCCAGCCAGTGCTGAAAAAGAGAGAAAGACCAAAAATGTTACCCTAAAATAATCAAATTTATAAAAGAAACTACAGGACTGGATTGAGAGCTAATTCAAAAATTATCTTAGAAAATCTAATGTGTATCATTGGTAGATCTCTGGTATTTTAAACTGTCATAAATAAGATTATTACTACATTATTACTTAAAGAGACTGATTTAGAGATTTAGGGAGACATGATGATCTTATATTCCTGAGTAGAACCAAATTTGACCTTTTTGATCTATCTTACTGTCAAAAGCATACAATTCAAAGTATTATGTTACAGTTTCTGGACTGCATGACATTGCATGTTCAGTTTGTCTAAAAACACATTTTTCCTTATTTTTCCTTCCTCGCTTTGCATTAAGAAAAAAAAACAGTCTAGCTGAGCTTCTGCTACAATCAAGCGTCTGGTCTGTTCTCTGTGTGGGCTGTTTGAAATATGGAGACTGATCTTGTTATTATTTGGCACTTGAACTTGTAATGTAATGTATCAGCTGCTTCCAGACTGATATTCAACATTCATACTTTGCCTGTGCTGACTCACTGCCTCTGTTTCCTGTTAGTAGGTGTGATTCTGCCGTAATGAGCTGAGTGCTGTGTATAAGTGGAATTTCTAAATTGAGGAGAAGAATTTGTTAGCCAGGGTAAAAGAGCAGCCAGATTTAGAGGAAGGAGACTCCTCAAAGATTACAGAGAAAAAGATGCTGCACCTTAGGCCTAATTTAGACTTCTGCTGGTATATTTTTAAACCTTACGACGTGGCAGATGTCGATGCCGGCATTTATGCTTGTGCTTGTGCACCCAGGGTCTGGTTTTTCCACTTCCTTTCACATTCTCCTACGTCTGTTACGATAGCACTCTCCGTCCAGGGATCTGCTGACATTTGTGAGTCGTTATATTGATATATATTGTTATCCTTAATACTGAGACGATAGATGTTATTCTCTCACTGATAGATTCAAAAACTATTACAAAAAAGTAGCCAATCAGTGGTCCTGAACAGTAGGGGTAGGGTAGGCATAGTGTTTCAGAGGGCTTTGTGGTTATGAAGCAGACTTTTAGCAGAAGCATAAATCCCCACTTTACTAAGATGTGGCTGTTGGAAAACTAACCACATACTTATAGACTGAAGTCTTCAGTAAAAAGTGAAAAATGCGCACTTTTCATAAACATACATTTCTCTAAATATAAGTGTTGCTCTGACCGGCTGTGTAGGTCCTGTGATCACTCCTCTGGTAAAGAAGAAAACTCTGGTAACACCTTTATGCTTTACTATTAGTGTTTCCAACTTTTATTTTAGGTTTTACAAGAAAAA